TGCAAGGTCAGCATAATAGGGCAATGTACATCAGACAAACATCTATCAAAGATATCAACATTAAAATCTTTTACTAATGGAAATAATCGTTTTGACATAATAGCATAATCAACAGTGCTACGGCCACCATTCTTATTAAAACAGGTATACTTTCCAATAGTGTGATCACTACCTGCTCTACCATTCACAATTCTTAAATCAAAACTTTGGCACATCTCAATAACTTTCTTGCCATTATTATTAACAACTGTATCATTATTAGAACGAGAATTAAAAATATCTGTATCATACATGTCCAAGTCACCATCACAAGCTCCTAGGCTGGACTGGTCCACAAAATCATCTACATCCAAAAAATCATCAAGCATCCCTGTTCTGGCATTAAAGTCCCCTAATAAACAAAATGGTGCATTATGTTTACTTTTAATATCAACGATGTCATTACATAAATCATCGAACACTTCATGAGAATAATGAATGGATCCCTCACATGGGAGATAAATAGCACCAAGAATAAACGGAAAGCCTAGAAGCTCACTCCCGACCTTCACCCATATGACGGATTCTGAGAGTGTAGGCTGAATTCGTGTAGAACACTCAAAAATAGAATTTTTCATTAAAATACACATACCATGAAAACCACCATACTGCTGCTTATTCGAGCTCTGTGATTCTAAATTGACCTAATGAACCTCACTTATCCAATAATAATCTAACCAAATAATCATGGTGGGGGCCAATTCGCAGTTGGAGATACATGTATTTTCAAAAATGTTAAAAAAGGGTATCTCGAGGGATCAAAGAGCTGGGATACTTCCAAATTATAGGTAAAAAAAAATGATGTATATCACCACTTTGACACTGCATAATTAGGCAAAAAATAATAATTTGGTTGTCCTCGACCGCCCGCTCGTCATTTTCGGGCCGCTCGTATTTTTATTTATTTTTTTTTTTTTTTGGGGGGGGGGAGCAATTTTAACCCAAACATACCATTTTATGCATTTGCAAGGATCAAAATGCGTCCCGTTGCCAGTTTAATCTTTGCAGTACACAATTAGGTATTTATTAAACTTGCCATTTCTTAGTGCATGTCAAAATGCCGTTCATTCAAATCAAGTTCTGAGCATTCTTAAACTCATTTTAAAGCCCATCTGTACTAGTTTTTACAGGAGGTATTAGACCAACCTGCAAGGTCACTGGACAGGTCATTGTTATCTCATCAAATCAGCTCTCAGTTAACATAAGATAAAGACGATCATGGGGGACCAAACCGACCAATGGTCACCGATTAGGCAATGTTTTCTACATAAAGGGACACTATAAGTAGTATAATGGAGATTTAAAAGGTACTGTATTTCAAAGCCAAAAATACTTTCTGTGTTGGTCTTGATATTCATTGTACATTAAACTAGTCTTTTATCATATTAAAGTGTTTTATAGACTTTGTTTGTTTAAATGCTTGACATCCCAATAATTTTTTTATAGAAAACAAATTTGTTTAACAAAAATTAAAACAATGGGGGAAAAAAGAAGAAAAAACAGACAAACAAAATGACCCGCCCCTACTCCAGAAAAGCAATCGAGGACAACCAAATGATTTTTTTTCTGGCCTTATATAAAATTGGGATTTTATAGTATGATTAATAAAGATTCATTTGGCAAAATTAGTTAATTTTGTAAGGCCTACCATCACCTACAATAGGTTATTTTTAAATAATGATAAAAATGACCTTCACTTCAAATTTCATTTGGGTCGATAGAGTTTGAAGCAGTTAGAGGCCGAGCTGATAAGGTAGGCTATCTAATACGACTGAAGTTGTCGCATAATTTAAACGAAGATTTGAAGGAGCGTACTAATTATGATAACATTCGTCTTAGCCGGTGAGTCCTGACTATTTTATTTCTGAGATCTGTTTTCACTAAAGGTTATTTGTTTGATAAGTAAATCTGTTCGATCTTATTGTTAACAAGAGTATGCTTATTATCCATACACTTCATACTTGTTTTTGCTTTAGCATGTTATAAAATGACGGAATTGTCGATGTCGCGATGACTGTCGTCGCTGTGTCATGTCAGTGTGTGTGCGCTGTGCGTGTGTCTGCTTCGACTTCGAGTCACTTGTTTGGCCTTTGCGCAGTGCCAAAAGGCATGCTCTATCATAAATCATAATAAATGTATGTGGATCCGCATGTCGATTCCCCCAAGGACCCTAGGCACATGGATGGACATGTGTCTTAGCTGGTCTAGTGGGATTGGACCATGGTTAAAGCAAACTAACCCCTAACTCCAGCTCCAGGGCCGGCCGGGAGCTCCGACTCCGAGTCCGACACCCATGGCCATGCCGGAGGCGTTGGAGCTCCAGATCACTGACCAGAGCATGATTTTTAAAACTATTCAAACAGCGGGTTAGGTCACATTTTTTTCGCCATGATTGCTATTTTATTGGAACAGATAGCAATGCAAACAACTTGTGCCTTCGAATATAAAAATGAGACTTGGGCTAGACTACATAAGAATAAAAAGGAAAATGCAAGGGATGATATAGATCTAGTCTAGAGTCTAGATCTAGTCTATAATATAGATTCTATGTCTAGTAAAATCAGTAGGGGCGCTGGTCCGAGAATGAGGATATCCTCATAAACGCGGACAAAATGCATCCTCATAAACAAGGATCGTCTGCATTTTTGCGGACATTTTTTGTCATCGGCGCTCTGCTGGTTTCGGGTTACCGAACCGCTAGCTGGCAATGCTAAATTTGGATTCCCCAGGGGAAAATAACCCTTGTTGACCGTCTACTTTTATGGGTTGTCCGTCTTCCCAAGGATTTATTGCTCATAATGTGAAGGTCTCTGTACAAAGTCAATGTAAAATGCATCAAGAAAATCATCCCGGAATTCGTTTTTTGCATCGCCAATGTGCCGATCAAAATTATGGAACATCTGCTTTTTTGCAGACGATCCTTGTTTTTGAGGACGCATTGGTCTGCGTTTACAAAGACAATCTTTGTTTATGAAGACGATCCTTATTCTCGGACCAGTGCTCCTACTGAAAATAAGAGGAAAGAAGGAGAAAATAAAAAACTTTTTTTTTAAATTATAGATCTACACTAGATCTAGATCTACAAGAATTAATAAAGGACAGTTTTAAAGAAATATGGAAAGTTTGAAACAAATGAAAAGATGAAAGGATATAACCCAATAAAGAATAAGAAGAAATAAAAAGAGAAGATTATAGAAGTCAAATATGGAGAGAGAAGGATACAAAACAAAATGTTGACAGTTACAAAGAGAAGACAAAAGGAGAAACCGAGAAAGCCAAAAAAGAGTGAGGGTAGATTATATGTAGAAAGAAAGATGATTGATTAAAAACTTTTTTAAAAGGTAACGAAAGATAGAAAGAGAAGATTAAACTATGAAAGAAGGAAAATAAAGAAATACATGAATGAGAAATACAAAGAAAAGAAAGGATATAGAAAAAGAAGGTCATATAATGAGAACGATGAAACAAAGATTGGGGAAGATAAAAATAAAAGATGAAAAAGGAAGAAAAAAAAACAATGAAATAGAAATACATAGTAAATGATAGGGGAAGAAATGAAAAAGAACAAGTACACAAAAAGAAAAAGTTAGAATGATTTTTTTTAAATATAGAAAAACAAATAAGAAAGCTAGAGAGAGAAGATGAAAGTAAAGAAATACAAAGAGAAGGGCAGAAAAAAGGTGATACAAGGAGAACGAGAGGAAATCTCTGGGAAAGAAATGAAAAGAAGACAAACAAAGAATGACATAGCCTAAGCAAATATATAGGGAATAATAGAAGAGATGTAAGTGAAAATTTATGGGGAAAAGGAAAGAAAGAGGTAAAAGAAGGATGAAACAAAGAATGACATTAGGTAAAGAGTAGCTGATAGAAGGGTGAAACAGAAAAAAATGTAAGGAAGGAGATATGGAGAAGAATCAGGAGATGATAGAAGGATATATAAATACATAGGGACAAGATGAAAGAAAAGCTGAAATAGGAAAACAGTTAATTGTAATGGATAACAAGGAAAGAGAGAAATAAAAGAAGAAGAAAGGAAAAAATGACGGAAAGAGAAGATGATTGAAGGATAGAAACATAGAAAACAAATAATAATAAGCAAATGCATACCCATGTTGGAAAATTACCCCCTCCCCTGCCAAATAAGAAGATTTGGCATTTTGCAGCATAAGAACTTCACATACAGTATGTAACAACTTCCTGAGTAAATTATTTATATTAAGTCACATACATGTAGTAGCTGAGAGCAAAACAAATTTAAATTTCAAAGTTTGGAATGATCCCCCTCTTCTCTGTGCTCATATCCTCCTTTTTTTTTCAACTCATATATTCGTAATAGTTTGTTTTTATCTGTGGGTGTCCGTGTAAAACACTGAGTCATTGATATAAACATAGCTTGATGTAATTTGGATACAATACTGCACAAGTTACATTGTTGGGTAAATACCCAAGATAAGATGATGCAATCAAAATGTGTCAAATTGAGTGTGAGCTGGCGGATCTGTATAGTCTGCCTTTTTTTTTGGTGCATGTGGAAAATGGAAAACGATTATCACTGATTTAAGTTATCTTTTCAACACTTTCCACCGCTTGGATTTCTTTAAATTTTGTTATTATATGCCATTAATTAAAGTTTTCTGAAACCGAAACTGTTGAAATATTTTCTGTTGTAGTGGGAGATCTGACTGTACTAATAGACCTCGTTCAGATATGACACAGCAAAACTGTGGCTGTTTTTTATGATGATGTAAAATTTAATATGCATCTCATTTCTTCAATAGTATCTTATTACACAGAGCTCTTGTGAATATGCACAGGACCTTTGTTGCATGCAGAATTGCAGATGCCATTTATTTACACGTATAAAAACCATCAGGTTCGTTTTTTTCTTTGCGACGGTTTAGGGCGTCATATCTGAAAGAGACTTGAGCAATCGATCCAAATGGATACAATTTAGAAGTGATCACCTAACAGGAGGCTTCTCTGGCCTTCTTTACCCTCAGAGATTACCTTTTACACTGAAACCTGTATGTAAAGACAGCTCAAGGGAAACAAGAAAAGTGGTCTTTATATGCAGGTGGTCTTTCAGTAAAGGTTCCCCTAGTACATGTACCATGGGAAACGCTATGCAAGCTAGGGAAAATTATAAATTGTGGTCTTAGTAGGCAGGTAGTTCTTCTATATAGGCAGTCACTAAAGCATGTTTGACAGTATTATTTTTCATTTATTTATTTATTAATTTTAAATGGTTTACTTCATTAAAAAACATTTGCGGCCCGAGAGCCGAATTGCAGTTTTTTTTTACAGAGTATACATCAGTGACTAAGTAAAATTACATGTTAAACACATGCATGGTAACATTTATCAATAGTTCTCCTTTGTTTCAGCAGATACATGTTGCTTCCTGATTAAGTGGTTATGTTGATCAAACTTGGTGGGCCAGCCTTGGGTCGCTTAAGATGAGCACAGCAACCTCCAACAAGGAGCCCAAGGTGAACACCTTCATCAGCTCCGCAGCGGTCATCAAGTTTTCTGGTGGCTCCGTGGGCACAGAGCAATGGACGGACTCGGAGGACGAGGAGGACACGCCCCATTCCAGGACGTCACCCGACTCCCAGAAACCCCCCTTACGCAGCAGCAAGGAAGATAATGGCACCCGAACAGTAGGCACAATGGACACAATGGAGAAGGACTACAGGGAAAGGACTAAAGAGGCCGGTGTTCATAGAGACGTTATTGCAAACGGGAATGTGAATCATAAAAGATCAGGCAACTTGATCCAGCCACGGTTATCAGATTCTCAAAGGAACACAGATAGAATTCTAACACAAGGGGATAGTGATTCAAACTTGCCGTTTCGGTTGCAGCAGGGAAATATGGCTGATTTAAAACAAAGTGGTACTTCCAAGAAGAAAATGGAAGAAAATCTGCTGCCTGAATCTCCCTTTCCTGAAGTGGATGGATTTGAAGTGGTTCCCAGGAGAAAAGGGAGCTATCAAGAATCTCACAATCCATTTTCAGATGTGCCTTGTGATGATGAAGATAAACACCATAATGTTGGTAAGAAGCATTAGTTTTATCTCTCTATGTGTGTGTGTGTGTGTGTCTCTCTCTTTTTCTTAAATGAGAACATTTTATAAGATGATGACATGGATCCTAATCAAATGATTGGTTGATAGCGTACACGTTAACAGGCATTTATTTTGCCTAATACGTAATTTTGATAATGACCAGTCATTAGTAAAATGTTATAAAACATCATTTTATAAAACAAATCAAAAATAATCTTATATAACAAGTAATACACATCATTTTGTTTGGACATTAGTGAAATTACCCACACTCGGTACCTTCAAAACAGTCCAAATACCCTAGGCTATCGCCTCAGGCGTGTTAGACTGTTCTAAAGGTACCTTGGGTGGGTAATTCTTACAATTATATGTTGTTCCTATGTTCATATGTTGAAGCAAGATTGTTCATGTGCATATAAACAATTATCCTATATGGACACAATAAAGAAATGAAATGAAATGAAATGAAATAATGCCCTCACTGCTGTGTATTATATTAAGTGGAAAACTGTTGAAAATTCCAATTTTCTGACTGTTTATTCGGATTTGAAAAAATGTGGTTAGCTCTTATGACACAAGTATATACCACATATTGATTATTTCATATTTATTAATAATCGTGATTGTTGTTAATGATTTCCTTTCCTTTACCCCTTAGGTTCAAGAAATCATAGCTTTGATGAGAAGCACAACCATTCCTACTCCTTTGAGTCAGACTTGGATATCAGCTTGCCCTCAGAAGACCAGGATCTTGCTGAAATCACCAATGAAGATCTTGGAGTGGGACTCACAGAAAATCACTTTTCTCAACCAGAGGTATTTTTTATTTTCACTTTAACACTTTTGAAGGCCCACTTATTTTGTAAGAGAGCATGGTTTGCTATACAAGTACAATGAGGGATTTCAAGTTGGGTGTTTAAGGCTAGTGTTAGTGTTTAATAAACACTAACACCAGCCTAAACACCGAAATGGAAATCAACTGGTGTTAAGGCTTTGACCTCTGAATATCGTCAACTTCCAGTAGCTAGTGTTATCGATTTTGCAAAATTGTCGTCTGCTGACCCGACCCATGTGGCTGGTGTTAATATTTTACGTACAAATGTCCTATTCACTAACACTAGCCCCTAGGGATTAAGCAAATGTTGATTTCCAGTTCGGTGTTAGTGTTATATCTGCACACAGTCAACGCACGAACGACGCAAATTTATTGTCTGACGATCAAATAAAAATATGTGAAACAGGTAATTCATATATTCTTATGTGTAAAATGAGTTATTTTATAAGACCAGAGAAATAGGTGTAAATTTATTCTGTTACTTTTCATGATATCTTTAGTTTTGATGTACTATTTTTAAATCATCGTCGTGAAATCAAGTATGTGGTGATGTCACAGCTGGTGTTGAGCTATCGATTTTGATATCGGTATCTGGCTCTTATTTTCATCAGTAAATTTTCCGCTCGATTTAAGAGCTCTTGACTGCTCTAAACACTAACACTAACACTAACACCCAACTTGAAATCACTCAATGTATATTGGCTCAATCTGTGTTTTCACAGGTACCATTGTTTTGAGGAAACAGTAGAATGACTTGTTGAGTAGACTAGTTGAAGCATGTACAGGTTATCCTTTAATTTCTTCATACTCCTCTATAAGCGGTCCTTATACTGCATTGCGGAGCAGATCGTGAAACACTTTGCAACTGCAAGTACAAGGCACTATATGTAATACTCTGTGAAGTAGAGTGGATTGGATTGGATTGGAACATACACTTAGTCACATATTGCACACTTTCATTTATAATGAGTGACAATGATCAAGCATTAATCACACTCTAATCTATGAGGAAATCTCAGAGCTCAGATTATGCATCACGTGGGATTTAATGGATATCACATAAATAGTACTGACAGTGATATATTTCTTTATAGATACAAATCCAAATTGTACTTACATTTGTCAAGCATACAGAGATATATACAGTACATTGATAATCCTTTTTATGAAAGATAGCCTGCATTTCTTTTTGGGAGGGGTATCTTATTATTTGTATAACTGACAATTAAATTTTCTTCGTAAATGGGTATAGAGGTAAGTGCGCTTCTATGTGTGCACACTAAATTGAGCCTTCTTAAACTTGAGATTTATTTTTTAAGCCATACTGTAAGAAACAATCTTGAATGAATTATTTTTACATCAAATAACAAGGATCTAGGAGTTTCGATGTATAAAATCAATTATGCATGTCATTATTTGTTCATTATACCATCTATCCTTCCTCGTTGATGCTGTGTGTATCTAGATAGATAGATACACACAGCCTCAACTCGAGTGCGGATAGATGGTATAATGAACTCATGTGCATGCCTCATTTATACAGTGCGTTCCAAAAAAACAAAACTGAGAATTATAGATGTTTTATCATAACTTAATCACAATTATAATTAATAAATGACACATATTTGTAAAGCTTAGATCCTCCTCTTCAATTTGATGCAACTCATATGATGCATATTTCGCGTATGAGTGATTAAAATCAATTTGAAGAAAGGGTACCAAAAAGCCATTTGGCGGACGGTATCTGAATTTCAAAGAGAAAAACAAAATTGGTTGACCTGCCATTTTGAGTTTGAACCAAGGTACTGAACACATTTTACCCATGATTTTACCCATTTCAAATATTCCACACATGGATATTAAAATTGGTTGAAAGTTTAGTGAGAAGCAAATCAATGAGGCATTCGGTCAACCGCCTTACTAAAATCTAAAAATATTGCATCAATGATTAGGGTGGGGGTGGAGCCAAGAGCTGAAAACCATTCATGTCTCATGTGTATTATTCAACACTTGTGCGACACATGATCTTTTCGGAGTAAAACCGTGTTGTTTATGAGAAAGTAATCCGTGAGTTTCAAGATGTTTTTTTAAGAGAAACAGAGAAGGTTCAAGTGGAAAGGAAAGAAAACAAATAGCTCTATATATCCATATTAAGAAAATTTTGCTTTCTATCCTGTAATTATTGGTACATGTTTAATTACTTTCAGTAACTCATCAAGACCAGAATTATAGTGCTAGTACTCTACACACACTTTGTACATGAAAAGCATTATATTAATAGCTGGACACACAGTTCACTATAAATATATGTGTGTGTGTGAAACTATGAAAGGCATATGAACTGTAGTCTTTGTTAATGACTTCTAATGGAAAAGCAAGCTCACATAATATGGTAATCGACAAACAATGAGTATAAGACCTATATGATCATGTAGATTGTGATAAGCCTCACAACAGGAGAATGATCAATGAAACTTGTCTAACTCCATACATTATTGAATGATCTGTACATATTCATTATCACGTGTAAAATGAATATGACACAAAACAGGAACAAACAGTCATTTTACAGATTTTGAAAACAACATCCATTCTTGTCCATTGTCCTCTTTTGGGGTGAACGCTCAATTGAGTAAATGTGGGCTGCTGCCAATGAATTTAGTTGCCAGACATGATAAATTTTTGGCATCATATGTTTGAATAAAAATCTGAAGCCAATTTATGACAGAATTCGAATTCACAAAGGAGGTTTAAATTCAACCCATGGTTTAAATTTAAACACTTATTTAGTATTTACATAACCCATGGTTTAAAAGTAGTGTGCGTTTAATATATGACCTCTGACTGTATCGCACTTATTTTGGGCTAGTTTTATACCATGGGTTATAAATGTAAATGAGGTTTTAAACCATCCATGGGTTACATTTAAACCTCCTTTGTGAATTTAGGCCATAATGTCTAAAGAAATATCACTGTAAAAGGCATTTTTATGAAAAAGGAAGGTATAAAAATAAAAGAAATACAATTGCTCTCCGTCGACTGGTTATACATAATGTATATGTTGTGGGCTTTTAAAATCGATAATAAATCACCATTTATTGATCAATCTTTACAACTTTCATGCTCTAATATCGAGGGTTTAGTGACGCAAAAACGTTACTCCATAAATGAGTATTTGATTTTAAAACTCCACCCAACACCCCATTGAAGTCAATGGCTAGTGAAACAAAGACTTAACTCCTTAAGGCCCAAGTGCTCAGTGACACATAAACCATTTTTTCTCAAAATGGAGTTACGTCTTTGTGTCACTGACCCTCCTCCCCCCCCCCACCCCCCACCCCCCAAACAAAAAATTGTTTCCAGAGCAAATATCAAAGCACGCAAAGGAAAGATGGCAGGAAAAATAATAGAGAATTTTTTTTTTGATGGTCTTGTTTGTTTCTTTGTTTCTTTTTGTGCAGGGTATTTTTGGTTTCTCTCGCATTGAGGAGCTAGAGATGGCTATCGGGAACTGTAAAGAAGAAGTCAAGACATCTCTAGAAAACTCGGAGAACAGGCGCAAGATGGTCGCCAAACTTGTACAACTCAGACTTAAACTACTCCAGCTCCAAGTAAGTGTCTTCTCACTTTCATTTCTCACAAGCAATTGCTATGCAGTCCTTATTGTGGCCAGCCAGCAATAGTTGTACTGTAATTGTGACCAGCAAGTTCTATCCTGCTAAATTTGCAACTATGATATTGCAATGACAAATTTGATTTGTCATTTTTTAATTTTTTTTTTTTTTTTGGGGGGGGGGGGTAATTTATATGTAGAATGAGAGTGAAAGTAAATTTCCATTGGACAATCAGATTGAATATTGAAGAAGTTTCACTTTACCATTAAAACATGCTTCCTTGACCAATGAAGTAGTTTATCTTACACTGCTTGACTTCTTCATCATTTTAAACCAGGAAGGGGATGAAGAAGAGGAGAAGGAGGAGGTCAAGGTTGTTCTTGGTCATCGTTTTTATCGGATGAAAGGAAATAGTCGCAATGACCACTGCGAGGTCTGTCTCTCGGTCATCTGGACTCTCCTTCAGACGTGGTTCAAGTGTAGTGGTAAGTTTGTGACCTATAGGCCAGAGTTTTTGTCCTTTTTTTTGTTGAAAAGTTGAAAGGTCATTAAGTTTTGTATAGATTGTAGCACTGAGACTGCTTTTCTGGAGTCATTTGTATCACAATGGTTGATTCCTCTATGGTTTGATTAAATACTATTTTTACCAAAATGTTTTGTATTTTAACTCTGAATATTGTAAAAGCATCGGTGTGCATTTTAAGGTTTTCATCTACGTTGTGCTGCTTTTTTGTAATCTTTTTATAATTACTTGTAAATATTTTGATTGTAATTGATTGTTTTAATAAAACATAAAGAAGGAAAAAAAATTTCTTATCTCTGTATCTGTTTAAACTACTTTCTTTTGTTGCAAGTAGATTTCATAACCATGCGTGTACACATTGGATGAATGATCTCTTTCTCTTTCTCTTTCTCTTTCTCTTTCTCTTTCAGAATGCAACTTTGGATGCCATGGCAAGTGCCTTAACCTAGTGAAACGAAAGTGTGTGAGTGCAAAGGTATGTCCACATATAATACCACGTCGCCCTAACTTATCTTTCCTTCTTTGATCATTGAAATGTGTAGGAGTTTGTTGGCAGAATAAGTATTTCAAGGAAATAACACAAATGTAATTCTATACAAGTTCCTGCAATCTGAAATATGAATAGATGGTGTCACAGTTGACTCTGGGAGTACAAAGTGTGTGTGTGTAATTGGGTTTTTACAGATGTGTATAAATCAGATACGATTATTTACGTCTGTGGACCGAACTTTAACGTCACCATATGAAAGACGTGACTCAGTTTCGAACCTGCGTCCTCGGCTGAATCCATTTGTAACTTCCATTGTTAGCTAGATTACAGGCACGCCACAATGCCCCGCATGTATACCTTGGTAGGTTTGAATCAGTCTGTTAAAGTATGTGCATTTATTTTTTCTTGTCTTGTCAGCTAAGTGTATAAACAAGCAGCTTTTGATAGAACTTTGATGTTATGGCAGTATTTAGATTTTATTCCAACAACTTTTTCAGCACAAACTTTCAATAAGTTTTGCTGCAGATGACAATAAAAGACCAACCTTATATAAGCTGAACTAAATCGACATTGGTGATTAAGTTGTTATTGTATTCATATGCTGGGGATGTCAAATATGGTTAAAAGTTTCCATAACATCCAAGTATGGTATTTACCAGTGCATATTCATAAATATATTAGAATATGGCAGAAGCAAACAGACAAGCCCAAGGTATTTTGTCCCATATATTATCAACTGCATCAAAGATTTCATTGAACTGATTGTACAAGTTTATAATCCTATGAAAGCTTTGATTAGACCAAATATTTAAGTAAATATGATTTACCTAAATCCTTTTCAATTCTTAGTAATGTATGGGAAATGTAAGAAAATTTAAAATACCTCGGACCTGCATAAAAATGTGAAAGAGATGCCATCTTTGTACAAGACACAATACATTAACATTGACTTTAAATTGTTTTCCTTATTTTCCTCATCCCAGATTTCAAGGCCTTGCTTTGATCTCAATATTTGTCCGGAGAAAGGTCTATCTGCTCAGAAGTACAGATGTGCAGAATGTAGAGCCCCGCTTGCTTTCAGTAAGTTTCCATTCTTATCTTTCCTGTGAAAGAAAACTTTGCATCTTTTTCCATCTTTTTTGTGTTTCCTTTCGAGCTTCTGATGTGGTAAACCACCAAAAAAATCTTTGTCAAAATATTAGGAGTTAAAAGTAGTGTTCTCAGGATTTATGTATCATATCACACAGGTACATGAGTAATCAAAGGGATATTGTTGTTGTTGTTGTTGTGTGTTGTTTGTTTTTTGGCGGGGGGGGGGGGGGGGGGGGCTCCAGCTGGCCAAGTGTGTGATTACAGCAGTCTTTATCAGTGCAGGATGAAACCTTGATACCAATATGATTTACTGACATTTCATAATTATGATGTTTTCCCTTCTTTTCAGATGGAGTACCGACGGAACCTAGACTGTGTGATTACAGCGGCCTGTACTACTGCAGCATGTGCCATTGGAATGACCAGGAAGTAATACCTGCGAGGGTCATTCATAACTGGGACTTTGAACCAAGAAAGGTAAGTAAGTGGTTACTGAGAATGGATTCGTTATAGTGATGATGATGATGGTGATAGTTGCAATGTTTCTTTTGTATGACACATGCACGCGCAACAATTTCTCCATTTTCAATTTCCAACCTCGGTAAAATTCCTAATTTTAACCCAGTAAGCAACATTGTACATGTTCATACCAATCTCAGACCCTAAATCTCATCTTAAACCTAATCATAGCCCAAATCCTTACTTTATATCTCTGACTAAATAAAGTCGTAGCAAAATTTGTCAGAGCAAGTAGCAGATTAATGTAGGTTTACTCGCCTGATGCGTTAACTTATTCCTACTTAAAACAGCATGAAGGATTTCTCATTTTGAATCGTACATTCAGACTCTTTATATTTCATCCGAAAGAAGCAACAAAAAAGAAAAGCCTTGGCAACCATTGGTTTCAATGCTTTTATTCTCCTATGTGTTCATTAGTAGCTCGTCTGGTCCGCGTTGCATAAAACTTAACATTGATGGTAACTTTGTCATTGATGGTAACTTCCATTGAAACCTTGATTTGATTGGCTGTTGAGTGATGTTGACTTTGTACCTGTAGTTAGTATTGATGGCAAAGTTAGCATCAATGGTAAGTTTTATGCAACAGGCCCTGTTCACATTGATATTTAATAATTGTTATTCTTCTAGGTGTGTCGCCAGTCTAAACAGCTCCTCAAACTAATGTGCAGTAAGGCAGTTCTGAGAATCCAGGACCTTAACCCTTTGCTCTTCAACTATGTAGAGGAGCTCAGTCAGATCAAGGTAAGCTCTAATAATTACAGTAGGCCTGTCTTCATCAGCTCGAGATTGCCACATATCCCGCTATTTGAACTATCCCGATCGCAAATTATCCAGTTAATTTGCGTCTTCATCAGCCCGAAGTTGCAATTAGCGGGATATTTGGTCGAGATATTCGTCCCAAGATATCTTGGGCTAATTTGCAAAATATCCTACTATTTGTCCAGTGCGTCTTCACCAGCCCGAAGACTCGCACTATGCGCAAACGCTCAGCAAAATATCCCGAGCTAATTTCTCAAGCTTGAGTTTCAAGTTTCGAGGTCAAGTCTCGAGCTGATGAAGATGCGATTTGTAACTTCGGGATTATTTCCCAAATCAGAAATAGCGGGCTATTTTGAAATCTCGAGCTGATGAGGACAGGCCTAGTGAAACCTGTATATAAAGGCTGCCCAAGGGAGTCAGGAAGAGTGGTCTTTATAAGCAGGTGGTCTTTATGTACAGGTTCCTTTGGTCTAGGTTTCAACGGGAAACCACATTCAAGAGAAACAAAAAATGCAGTCTTTGTAGGCAGGTGGTCTTTCTATACAGGTGATCATAAAAGGAGGTTTGACTGTACTTGTGCCATGCCATGATTGGTTTATAAGACACCATGTTATCCATGGTAACAAGTTTTTGCTTTAGATCTGTTTTGTTTTGTGATACATTCAGTACTTTTGAATTTATTTATATTTAATTTCATTTTCATATTTTTCTGAATGTTAAGTGTTGAGGCTTGTGATAGAAATCATTGATGATTCTTGTAACTTACTTTTTATCAATATTTTAATGCTTAAATTACATGTCCTGCTCTTACTGCGCTACGTCTATTTTCTATGTTTTATTTATGTTTTTGAAAGTGGAAGTAACTTTGAAAAGAATCGGTTTAATTCAAACTTTCATCATTAACCCTTTTCTTTTTTTTCTTTTTTTCTTTTTTCTTCTTTTTTTTTTGATAATGAGAGGGAATTTATAAGAAGTAGCTTACAACTCAATAGAAACTAATGAGCTCCCCAAATATGCAGTGGTTGCTTCTTGCATGCAACTGATACAAGTCTGAAGGGTCAGTGCTTATCTTGCATATTATTGGTCAAAGAAAGTGACATATGCAGATATGGATGAATATTGTTCATTTGAATATAATTAGACATATTTATTAGATACAATTGTATGTAAGAAAGTGACATATGCAGTTATGGAGGATATTGATCATTTAAAGGGATAGTTGAGTTCTGTTTTCAGACCGCAAATGCCTTCAAAGTGCATGGTTATTGCTCTTATTCTTATCTATGACATTTATAGTGCCCTTTTAGAACCTAGAATTGCTATGAAGGTAATTTTAGACCCCAAAATGTGTGAAATTTAGCCAATACGATCATACCAATTCAGCTCCACTTTAAAAAAAACACGATGACCGTTAATTAATTATTTAATTAAAAATAACAATACATGAGCCAGCTAATTATGGGTAATAAAGCAACATGAAAATGCTAACAAAAAAGCCAACATCGGCATTGGCTGAAATACGACGTAAAAGGCATTATTTCTGTTTTTAACGTTTTTTCAATTTTTTCAAAATTTCTAATATTTGTGGTGGTACACAAGTATTAGAGATCGTTATATTTCAGCCGTCTCTGAACCGATTTTGATCGAACAAAGATGATTTTGTCATTTAAATATTATGTTCTTTCAAATTTGACACTCAGTTTTTCATGATCTCACAAAAAAATTATTTTGTGTAGCGCCCTCTGCAACAGAACTCAACTATCCCTTTAAATATACTTAGATATATTTATTAGATACAATTGTGGAGAGTTATTTAAAAAATATACCACAATTAATCAATTAATTCTAATGTTTTGATATGTACAGAAACTGAGAGGGGAGATCCTGACCATGAAGGTATACTTCCTTTCCTGCCGCAGAGCCATGGAGCAAAAACTACTCAAACAAGTGAGTTTTTCAAGTTTCTCTTTGGAAATACACTTACACAGTATGTGCATGAAGTAGAAAAACTAAGTCTGTGTAAAGGTGACAAATATGACCTTTCTCATTCTTTGTATTTATGTGTGAAAGAATTTCAAAGTTACTATGTCACATGAGAAGGATGGCACATGACACGTAATTGTATTTCAAATACAACTAGTTTGGATAAACGTTTGATGCCTCCCGATTTCGCGATCCCATGTAGCCATATCTGCCGTGGGTGCTTTGTGTTGTTTTGCACTTTTCAGAACGATCTATTCAACATTATTTTAAATCCTGATAACCACATTACTTCCTTTTTTAAAATAATAAATGTTAATGTTCACTACATTATCAACCATTTTTGATAACCTAGAGCTGGAAAGTGAAATTGCATGATCAGTAATCAACCGCATCCGGACACCTACCCCCCTGGACATCCACTCCCCGGATAACCATCCCCAGTCAACTTCCCCCTAGGACAACCACCGTCTAGGACGACTACCCCCGGAACAACTACCCCCTGGGAAAGCAACCCCGGACAACTACCCCTAGGACAACTACCCCCTTTGACAACTACCCCCTAGGACAACTACCAACTCGACAACTCCCCCACCCCCACCCCACCCCCCTCCCTCCCCCCCCCCCCCCCCCGCCCTGACAACTACCCCCTAAGACAACTACCACCTGGACAACTACCCCCTAAGACAACTACCACCTGGACAACTACCACCCGGACAACTACCACCCGTACAACTACCCTCCGGATAACTACCTTCTAGGATAGTTGTCTGGGGGGTAGTTGTCCCAGAGGTTGGTTGCCTTAGGGGGTAGGTGTCTTAGGGGGTATTTGTCCTAGGGGGTAGTTGGACTGGGGGTGGTTATCCGGGGAGGGGTAGGTGTCCTGGAACTGTAATCAACATCTCACCTTTGAACTGGGTCGGTATAATTCACTCTTTACCCTTTGCTCTACAGCTCCAGGTCAGACCGCACTTTGTGGAGAACAGTGACTCGTACTCTCTTCAAGATCTGATCGATACAGAAGAAGGCAATCTTCTCACAGAGCTAGCTACTCTACATGGAGACTATGCAGTACACATACGAATCGATTGCCAGGTACTTTGCGAGCTCTCTCTGATGGGAATTTGACATTGCTGGGGATTATTTGTGATCTATCGTCTAGGGCCGAGTTAAAACGGCTAAACAGCGTTTAAATGACCATTAAAACCAAAACCATTACAATTTTGCAAAATATTTGATCAGAAATTGAAAAATGTTAATGGATTAATAAAAATTATATATGTGCACAAAATACACCAGGAGAATATTAGAGGCAAGGCCTTGATTTAAAAAATTAACATTAGATATATGTGGATCTTGATCTAATCAATTTGGTGGTTTGAAATGTTCGAAATGCTCAGATAAACTGTATCATTGTATATTGTGTGAAAAATAGTCACTTAATTTCACATTTATTTCTTCTCATTCAAATGCCATGTGACTATAAGGCTATGCCGAATGTAGTACCGTATTTGCCGGCGTAAACGCCGCAGTATTTTTGGAAGACAAAATATCAAAAAGTTGGGGTGCGGCCTTCACGGCGAAAGAGTAAAAAAAAAAAAAAGTACTCACTTTGAATGTCGTACTACTGAATACAGGTACATAATTTTGGCTTGAAAATCTGCTTTAAATAACATATTTATTTTCTTCTTTCTATCCTTCAGATATGTCAAGGCAAGGGTTTTATATGTGAGATATGCAATTCAAATGAGATTCTGTTCCCATTTGACATGATAGCTACGTTGTGTGCAAACTGCTCAGCCGTGTTTCACAGGTGAGAATGGTATACCAATATCCGGTTTATTGACGTTTGGTCTACACCCAGCCCTTCTACTACCGACATGGTCTAATAATAATAATAACAGTGGGTTCTTGTATAGCGCTCATGTCTGTCAGACTTGACACTCCTGGCGCTCTTGATTTTTACCCTGGCTTTAGCACGGCTACCATTACGGTGCTCTAGCATTTCAAGGAATTAATTCCTGCCAGGTACCCATTTACATCACCTGGGTTGAGTGTGGCAAAGGTAGATCAATGTCTTGCCAAAGGACATGTCATCTACTTTAAATATCATCTAGTATAATAACCATTTGGTCTGATTTCCATTTGGTCTAATCTCCAATAAGTCTACTACCCATTATGTAGAATAACCTTTGCAACTACTTTCATAAAAAATGCTGTTCGACGATAGGAGATACGTCTTTCATCATTTTCCCAATGTTTTATGCCTTTGAATATTGTCTTATAAATTATATGAGCCATGGATTGAATTTGTGTCTAAATTAATATGAGTTGGTGATCTTCTACTTGCAACTGCACTCTGTGAAGATAAATTGAGATTAAGTTAATTGATAAATGTATGGACTTGAATATAATGTTAAGGGGATTTGACTTTACTTTAGGCTTTATTTTGTCAAATATATAGGGTTAGGGTTAGCTAGGTATAGGGTTTGTCGTCGGAACATACATGTGCCGTAGAACTAATGTGAAATAGAGGTGGTGGCAAGTATCAGTTAGGGTAAGTGATCTTCTTCTTCTCGAGTCTCTATGTCCCAATCCAGTGTTGGATGCATTGTATCTTGCAGGGGGTCAGTGTTTCCAGATCTTCTTGGGTACAAGGGTCTGGTAGATGTGGGCATGCTAGGAGATGTTGCATAGTCTGCTCCTCTCCACACAGGCAGATGGTGTAATCGTTCTCATTATACCCCCACTTCACCAGGGGGGTGTTTCACAAAGATCCTAAGTCAAACTTAACTCGAAGTTGGACTTGAATATTATGGAAAGACATTTATAGCCTTAAAATAAAATATATTCAAAAGCAAATAATAACTATTTCAGACTTTTCATAAATTCCACATCTCCACATCAAGAACATGAAATCTCCTTGATAATAGAAAATATTTTGAATCAACATTTTATGCCTTTTAAAATAACTTTTACAAAATTTTTCAAGGATGCTAATGGCTTTCCATAATTGTTAAGTCCAACTTAGAGATAAGTTCAACTTAGGATCTTTGTGAAACATCTCTCTGGTCGGTTAGGGTTAGTGATAATACAATAAGATGGATTGAGAACACAGTGGGAAGGAAATGAAACATCTCCAACAACCTTTTGATGTCTATCTTTGACAGGGACTGCTTCTACAAGTGGTCAGGAGATTGCCCTAAGTGTGCCAGGCTGTCTCAACGAGCATCTGCTGACCGGCCAGCCTCCAGCCCTGCAAGACCAATCCAGAAATGACCACTGTAGGATGACCATTGCATGATGACATGTGGAGGAAAGTATCATTAGACTCCTGAAAATCAGTGTTTCTCCTTTCCAAACTTGACCTTTAATATGGATTTTGTTTGTTTGTTTGTTTTTGTTTTTTTTCCTATCAGGCATTTAACAGTCATATTCATGCATAATAATATTAACAATTAAATATTATGTAGTATGTAAGATCAAAACTATTAATTTTTAAAAGACATGCAATTATTGATAACCGAGATACAAAGAAAAATTATTATTGGAATAAATATGTAGTTATCACAAATATATGAAAGATATAGATTTCCTAAGATTTTAATATCGGCATTCCTCTCATCCCTTGAGATATACTTACCGCGGTTACATCCTTTGTTTGATAATCCCATAAACTTGTCATATGCTCTTAAAAGCAGAAAGTCCCTTTTGCAGACTTGCATAAACTCCATGAAACTTGGCGAGTGTTTGAAATATATCCTTCAGAATTTATGTGTGAAATTTTACAGTTAAAGTTTCTGAAACTGCTTTGTAAGAAATGAAAATCTATTGACAAATATTGGGCAACTTTGAAAATGCATTCTGTTTGCAAATACATACCGATAATTCAAATTAAAAATGAGAATGGTGAAAAATATGTGATCAATGGAAAATATTTCATCAATGAATAAGAATAAAAGTAACTATCAGATAAGGGTCAGTTTAGCAAAGAGAATAGGGTGGATTCACAATTTACAGCTCCGCCACCGGCAAGCCACATTCGGGTCAATTTTTCAGCTCACAGGTCAACATCTTTCAACTACTAGTGCAGCACAGCATAAGAAAAATCACCCCGGACCAAAAGTGACCCTAATGGTTAGTTTAACCTAAAGGTGGCTAAAATGACAAAAACGTTGTGAGTAGGGTCTTTGAGACTGACATTTTTGGAATCAGTGCAAAATTTTACCCCAGATAATCTATCAAACCTTCCCCACCAAAACTTCTCATTAAATACCCTCATCTCCTAGGGTATAATAACAATGCCACAGTAGATATTTTGGTAGACTTTTTCCCATAATACATCACGTAAAATCGACTGAACACTGGTGTCGCTAGATGGCGCTGTGGAATGTGAATCTTCCATATTGTGGGGGGAAAGAGGGCCATTGTGAAAGGGGTAATCATGTGCATCCACTGTTTTGAAAGGGTAAATATTACTTGTCTTCTGAGTTGTGAAGGTTTTCTGCGGATGGTGCAGTGAGAAAAGGGCTTTGGTTTAAAAACATTTGGCTAAATATTTGTGTATCTAATTTGGGGTGTGTAATCCATGTAATCTATATTTATTTGTAATATACTCACGTTTAGATAGTACTGCATATTCTCTATTTTTCATAAGCAATTTTTGATAGAAGAATACATTTCCAACGGCAGTTGTCACACACGGATATGATCATTTGAATGATAATTATTATTAAATGTAATAATAATTATCCTTCTCATGGATGAAATTATTTCTATGAAAATAATTATTTGAGTGCAATATGATTATTCCTGTACACCATGCAGTTACAGGTCGGTTTTTGCAGTAATATATTATGCTTGTGGCATTGGAAAAAGTGAATGTACTACATGTTTACTATTTATCACTTTCAGTTGCCAAAATACTTAAACAAATGTGACAGTAATTTTCAACATATCATATTTTTGATGATTCTTGCACCCATTGTCTTTTTCTCTTTCTTCCTTTTTTTTTCTGTCCGTAACTTTTTTGGTTGTATTAGAAGGAAAGCTAAAATTGTTTACTCATACCCCCAAAATTGAATAATTTCTCTTCTCTCTCTTTTCTCTCTCTCTCTCTCACCATCTCCTCTCACCCTCTCTCTCTCTCTCTCTCTCTCTCTTCCCCCCTTCTCTCTCTTTCTCCCCCCTCTCCTCTCACCATCTCCTCTCACACACACTCTCTCTCTCTCAGTAAAGATGCCTCTTCTTTGATTTATGAGTGTTCCTCATCTCACTCAAAAAATATTCCTATTACTGTTCTTTAATTGGTCAGATTTCAAATGTAGCATTTTTTTTTCTTGTCCTGAAACACATCGAAACATGTTTAAACATGTTACAATGTTGTTGTTTTTTTATTTATTTTTTTACAATCTCAGAAAAGCCCCAAAGGTACAAACTTACACCCCCCTCCCCCTTTTTTCTTTCTTCATTTTGTTTATATTCTTGATTTATGTAACTTGACATGAACAGCAAATACAGTATTATATATTTGTTTATCTTTGGTCTTCCAGAAATGGTGCATGAGTTGGTAATTTATTTTATGAATTTAGAATGAAACAACTGTATAGGTACATCTCTTTGTTAACCAAAATATTCAGCAGATCTTGTGCTTTGAGCAAATGAACGTGGATGGCTGTGCTGTAAATTTACAATATCTCATAGTTTGGGGTTCGAGAATGTGTTAAAAAGGTATATATGCAAAGGCTAAGATAATTTATGTGTGTGTGCAGCCCTTGCAAAATACTTTAGTAAAGACAAACAAGGTTTTTTTTTTCTACGTCTTTTTAATGTGCAAGTTTATACAGAACATAAAGATATTAATGGTGTTAATCGCGATACAAGTTTTCATACAATTAATGATAATAATATTGAATGGCTTTTCTTTCGTGAGACACAAGGGTATACCGCACGCGCTTTCGCTTCGCTTTTCAGCTCATGAGATATACCCTTGTATCCCAATCAAGGCTATTCAATAATTGCATAAATCAAGGGGGTCATTGACACAAAGACGTAACTCAATTTTGGCCATTTTGAGAAAAAATGGTTTATGTGTCACTGAGCACTTGGGCCTTAAGGAGTTAAGTCTATGTTTCACCAGCCATTGACTTCAATGGGGTGTTGGGTGGAGTTAAGTCTTTGTGTTTCCTGGAAAGCCCACATTTTTCTGAACATTTTGATATCAAATACTCATTTTGGCAAAATATGGAGTTACGTCTTTGTGTCACTGAACCCTCGAAATGCTGTTTGTGCAATGCATCTACTTATACACATACCGGTATATTCTGTTGGATAATGGAATAACAATAACTCTTCTTCATGCTGTATTAATGAGTCATAAAGAGGAGGGGTTTGATATTGTTTCAGATATAGGGTTATTTTTTTTTAAGTGTAACTTTAATAAAGCAAGGTTGAATGCATCATAAATACTCTTAGATAAAAAGAAAATGTTACTATCACACATATTCCAATCCAAAATACCTCTAAATTGAATTATATCTTGACAGTATTACCACATAATCTAGTGTCATATTTAAACAATTGATTTGCCTGTTATTATTTCAAAGTTATGTTTTCTTGGATTTAAGAAGTATTTAAGGTGGCGAAAAGCACAAAATCATGTAGATAAGCTGCATTTAATTGCATTGGTGTTTATTGCAGTAAATTTGGTTACTATTTTTTTTCCCTTTCATTTTACTGATGCAAAAGTTTTTGCAGACGCCCCATTCCCCATTTGTTAAAAACAAAAGTAGGCCTATGGTTGACTACAAGAGACGTGGAAATGATTGAAGTGTTTTTCAATTTTTTTTTCTTTCAGTTTGCTTAAAAGAGAAAGGCATGGGTACTGTAAGCACATTTATGCTAGAATTAATGTAAAGACTAGATAATAATGTAAAAAATTTACTGATATATTGCAATGTTTGAAAAACTGAGTCGGTATGGATGTAAATACTTGTGGAAATGAAGAGTCTACTTTTGTCATACGATTTGTAAATAAAATTATACAAAATCATCAATAAGTATACCACGCATTGTTCAGTTTTCGTTTATTTCTCTCTTTTTCTATAAAAAATAGAAGTTGACTCAATAAAAAGAGGGATAAAAGGAAGAAGGATAGGAGCTTTGTTGATAAGAGGAATTGTGTTGGTGTGTGGTTAGTGCTCTGGTGCAATGCGATATGAAACGTACTACAGTGCGTCCCAGAAAAAAAAAACTGAGAAGTATCGATGTTTTATCATAACTTAATCACAGAAACTCAACTTTCTAGAAATGTGAATTTTTCTTCGAAATTCAGATACCGCCTGCCAAATGTCGTTTTGGATTCCTTCCTTCAAATTGCTTTTAATCACTCATGCGTGAAATATGCATCATCTGAGTAGCATCACATGAAAGAGGAGACTCTAAGCTTTCCAAATATGTATCATTCATTAATTATAGTTGTGATTAAGTTATGATGGAACATCGATACTTCTCGGTTTCGTTTTTTCTGGGACGCACTGTATAATTTGTGTCGTTTTGCTTCAATAGATGCAAAGAACTCTAACAGTATGAGCACAATAAATAACAAATTATCCTGGACTAGTCTTAACTTTAATTTAGTCAGTTCATTTATTTAATAGCTTCATTTAATAGAATGACTTACATATGACAAAAAAGCATTTTAGAATTTTAGAATTAAAAGGTAAAGCTTTGCATTAGTTTTTTTTTTAAGATTAAAATTTGCTTTAAATAACATATAATTCCTTTTATGTATTATAATGCATGCATGACATTGATCTATTTACATTATCATGATAAGAGACACAACATTTTCTCTCTCTCTCTCTCTCTCTCTCTCTCGATCTGCACAGTTAAGTTCATTTTTTTCTCAACAACTTTATTACAAAAATAATTATAACTGATCGAAAAAGAGTTTTTGCATTCTAAATTAAAGGAGGTTTTATGTAGCTGTGTGAAGTATCTGTAAGGCTCCCAAGTAATTCTAATGATTATATCCACTTGATCTACATAGTCACTAATAAGATCAGTGACATAGTGATATAGACTTATATCACAAGATCTCTTGATACTTCTATTTCTGTCTTTCATTCTTCTTGTGTCTCTTATCTAAAGACTATCTCTGACAGTGCTAAACTAGAATTCGAGGAACCACTCTATAAAGTTTTGACAGAAGATAGTTAAGATACAGTTTATAATCCAAACGATGTTACAGAGTCGCACTTGTATTCCTAAAATTATAAAATTTGCCACATGGCCATATACACTTTATCATTAGTCATATTCCACTTTGATGAATTACTAAAAGATTGTCATTACAATATTACATTCAATCATACACGATAATTAAAAATTATTCCCGTAAGCCTTCAAAAGTTTCAATAATATGTCGAACTCTTGAGGTGGAGGCTTCAGAGAAATTTTTTTAAATGGACGACTTTCCACTTTACTTTAATGCAGA